TTGGAGATGGGCCACTGGGCTCGAGATTGCCTTGCTCCCAAGCCTGTCAAGCGACTAGCTATGCCGGCAAAACCCAATTTGCTCGAGGGTGATGGAATTGCTATAGCAAATGAGGCTGTTGAGGAGCTCTACAACATAGAGGCAATTGCAACACCAAGTAGGTGACTTCTAGACTTTTGTTGTACTAATCTTATGGGCAATAAGAAGTGTATTTTTGAGTGTTATCAGCTAAACATTGGAAAACATGGTGTTTATTTAGGTGACAATACCACTATCCCCATGGAAGGCATTTGGCAATTTCAGCTCTCACTTGATCATAAGAGGACCATGGCATTTGATTGTGCCATGCATATTTCCTCCTTGCAATGAAACTTAATGTCCATTGTTAAAATATGTGATCAAAATGCAGTGGTAGTCTTTGATGCAAAGGGAGTCTCTTTGGTTGACTCTAGTGACTTTCACATACTTGGTACACAGTTGCTTCGTGGGCCATGCATTTGGGGACTTGTATGAGATTACTGCTGCTGACCAGATTCAGGCCTTTCAAACTGTGGAGGCAAATTCTCGTGCGGAGCTTTGGCATAAGCAACTTGGTCATATCCATTACAAATCTCTTCAACAGATGAAATCCCAAGATATTATTACTGGATTGGATTTCCAATGTATCCCATCTATATTTTGTGAAGCTTGCATTTTAGACAAGCATCACCACCGGAATTTTTCGTTGAGCAAGCATCGAGCAATTGGATTTCTGGACTTAGTCCATTCTGATCTTTACATCCTTATGGATGTGCCAAGCCACGATGGTGCAAGATATTTCGTCACATTCATTGATAACTATAGCCATCGAACATGCATCCACTTCTTGATGCGTAAGAGTGATGCAGTTGCTACCTTTCAAATGTACAAAGCCTACATTGAAAATCTCCTTGATTGAAAGATAAAAGCTTTTCAAGTTGATGGTGGTGGTGAATACCTCAACAATGAGCTTCAAGGCATCTGTCGTGATGTAGACATACGACTGCAAGCCACAGCCCGCTACACCCCCTAGCAAAATGGTGTTGCAAAAAGGAAAAATCACACTCTTACCAATGCTATTCACACTTTGTTAGTTGATGCACATTTTGACAAGATGTTTTGGCAAAAGGCCATAGCCACAGCAATGCATGTCCAAAATCACCTTGCCAAGGCTGCTTTGGATGGAAAAACCCCTAAGGTATTTTGGATAAGTTCTACTCCTGATGTGTCCCACTTTTGGGTCTTACGCATATACCCTTGATCAACTTCGAAAAAAGCAAGATCCCAAAAGTAAAAAATTCATCTTCGTAGGATATACACAAGACGACACCATCAAGAGAAAAGCTTACAAGTTGTGGGATCTTGCATCTCACAAGGCTCTTGTAAGCACAGATGTCAAGTTCAATGAAGATGACTTTCCTATGCGTACAGAGGCTCTTCAAGATCCTTCTTTCATTGCGATGGTCCACTCTTGCCTCCGCCTCAAGATCCTATTC